ATAGCCCAAGTGCGAGGAATCCTTTGCAAATTCCAGAAGGGACTCACCAATGCCAGATGCCATTATTCCATTTCTTTAAAATATGTTCAATAAATGGTAACTATTATCTATGTCATCTTAATCTCTCAACATTATCTGACTGATATTATTACCCCTATTTATATGAAAACAGAGGCTCAGAAACGTTTTGTGTTCAAGTTACAAAACAAGTGAAAGGATATAAACTCAGGCGTGATTCCAAAGTGTGTGCATTTTCCACCAAACTGTGCTGCTTGGATGTGAAACCTTTTGATATCATGGATTAGATCTTTTTTCTTTTTCTTTTAAACGTATCTACCTTTAAAGTCAGAATGACATCAGGTATCAGAGTAAGTGTATCTGGAGGAAGGAGGGGAAGAAGAGATCTAGATTTTCTTGGGTTCTTTGCTCTACTTTACCCATACTATTATTGTGTCAAATACATGCATGCAAATAATGCATGTTTATTGTGGAAAAATTACAGAAGTTAGATAAGCCAAAATAAACTCTAAGTAAAAATCACCTGTGATCCCACCACCTACAGATGTCTCCAGCTTCAATTGACCTCAGCAAGACGAAGCCGAGTGTGACAGTAGAATCCACCCCAACATCTCCATCATACAAAATATAATCAGACTTTTGGTCCACAAAGTGCTGCAAGTATCAGAAGAGGCGACGGCAGGAGAAAAATATTTGGGTTTTCAACAATAATCACTGCTCTAGCACAGTCTCATTTTAATAGTCATAAAATATTTTAGCATTTGCATGATGTAAATTTGAGAAGTTTAAAAATCTAATTATTTTATTTTTTTAACCAGCAAACTCTGTTAAACAAAAAGGCTCAAATATAGGGAGATAATTCTACCACTACTGAAAACATTAAATGATATATTAAGAAAAGTCTATTACACAATCATTGGCAGTATACGAGTATTGCATAGAATTAGATGGTTGTAACCATCACACTACAGGCAGGATACCAGTTAATAGATGTGGGTTTAAATCCTGGTTTCACCACTTATTTTATAAACTTGGGCAAGTCGTTCAATTTTTGTGGGACTCAATTTACTTATCTGTAAAGTAGGGATAATTGTACTGACTCTTTAGGAAGGCTCTACAGAAACGTTGTGAGGATTAAGCCATGTAAAGCATATAATGAGCTTAGCATAATATCTTGCACACGGAGAGCAGTAAAAGGAACTTTAAACAAGTTAAAATCTTAAGTTTTAAGCTATCAAGCCTTAATATTTTTCATAAATATTTTCCAGGAAAGTAAATAACATTCTTTCTCCATCAGACAATGACTAGCTTTAAAGGCATTGCTACATTTACTAAGAATGAAGATATTAGACTCTATTTTAAGACACAGGAATGACTCTTACCATCCTGAGTAACTCAGCTTGGTAATGCACTATTCCAGAACTCAGTCGGGTGCTCACTGCTGTTCAGAATTATTCAGTCCTAATTAGTACCTTTTCTAATTTTCCCAATTTACCTACCTCCTTTTCCCTCTCGGCAGGGAAGGAAAAAAAGATTATGATGAATGATCTTCCTACTTAATTCCTTCTTAAAACTCTTCTCTTTTTGGAGGGCAATTAGATAATTCGGTGACTGACATCTCGTGCCAAACCATCAGGTTTGCTACCATTCCCAGTACCCAATAGCACCCTTTCTCCAGCAGCTGTCCTATCCTCAGAGTTTTGCTCTTTTCCAGCTCCTGGGCTGCAAGGGGCAGCAGTCAGCAGGAAGCAGCAGTATCTTAAGTGCACAGCCAGGGATAGTTGCAGGTCCCTGCAGCATCTTATCCAGTTAATCTGCACCAGGACAACTGAGAGTTGACTGGTTTTGTTTGAACTTGGGTTTGGGTTATTTGACTTCATTTTTTTCTCTATTACCCTGGATAATTAAGACTGTATGTATGTATCAAGAACTTTAATATGTGATTACTTTTAAACTAAGAATAACAATTCTAGAGAAAAAAAATCAGAAATGTTGTTCATTAAAATAACTTAAATACCAAATGAGGAATTAGATAAATTATGATACAGACATGGAATACTCTGCAGCCATTAAAAATAATTTCGTAAAAAAATATTTATTGAAATAGAAAAATCTTTACAATGTGAAGCAGGCTATAAAACAGTATGTATATCATTTCTGTGAAGAAAAATGTACATATATGCATGAAAAAAGTTCTAGGTCATACATAAAAATATTAACATTGTGATCTTTGAGCTGTGAAATGAGTTTCAGGGGTTTTTTTGTTTGTTTTTTGGGGTTTTTTTAAAAGATTTTTATTGGGGAATTGGGGGATGGGAACAGCACTGGGGAATTGGGGGAAGGGGAACAGACAAGTTGCTGTCCTTCTGTTCTTCAGTCTAGTTGTGGAGGACGTTGCTTCACTGGCCCAAGTTGGCACCATCATTGCGCTCTTCCCGGGTCAAGCAGATCAGTCGCCAGCTTCTGGGCGGCCGCTCACAGCGGCTGATGGCTGCTCATGCTGGCTGCTGGCTACACACGGTAGCCCATGGCAACCCACTGCAGCAGGGGCTGCAGCCTACGCCATTGCCGGTGACTCACGGCAGCCCAGCTCCAGGTCGAGCTGTTGTTCAGCATCTTAGCTGTAGAGGGCAGTGTCACTGGCCCTCATATGTGGGATCCGAACCGGGGCCCTCTGGCGTCCCAAGCCAGCTCTTAACAAATGCACCACTCGGCCGGCCCTGAGTTTCATTTTTTTATTTGCACTTTTTGGTGTTTTCCCAAAATTTCTGCATTAAGTTTGTATTAATTTTGTACTAGAAAAATGCAAAATGGATGCTGACTTAATGAGAGAAAGGAAGGAAAGGGGAAGGTGCCAGGACCCTGGGGAACATCTACACTTAAGGTGTTTGAGGAAGAAGAACCAACATCTTAGACTTGTACTTTTTAAGAACTAATAGTTTTCCTTCTTGTTCATTTCTTGCTATTAGATTTATTTTAGCTTCTATTTAATCAGTATTATAATACTTAACTTAGACTTAAGCATCTAGGTTAAAATAAGGGAACAAGTCACAGAAATTTTCTGTCAACAAAACAAAAACATACCACCATACTAATATTTTTATAGTCCTAGCAGTCCCATAAACAAATGCTGGCCGTAAACACAACAGAATCTTTGAAGTCTTAAAGCTGACCTTTAGTTTAATACAGTGTAGGTAAGAAATCTTCCTGGGTAAAGAGGTACTTCTGGAAATTGTATTAACCCTTTCAGGCTAAAGTAGCACCATTTGTAAATGTTTCTATAGAAACAGTGTTTCTGTAGAATTGAAAGAATCCATTCCATCTCACCCTAGAGGGTTCAGGAGCAACCCAAGGAATGACTGAACCAGTCCATCTCACAATTTTGGCCACTGCTTTAAAAGCAGGGTTATCATATAAAACATCTCATACAGAGTCCTTCGCACGTAATTTGTTCTCACACACACTAACAAATAGCCATAATAAACATGTTCCATGAAAGTGAAAAAAAAAAACAAAACAAAACTATATTCACATGCATTAAATACATTTACATAAAAAATAAGACAAAAAAAGCACTTGTTAAAGAATTACATATATTAAGCAACAGGAAATTAGGCAAACTGGAAAAAAGTGAAGTGTTCTTGTCATGTAAATTTAGAAAATTATAGTGAAAATAAAGTCTAAAGGTTTAAGAGTGTTTTATAAAGAGACTTTATTTCTAGATTTTTATCAACAACCTGGAGTACTATAGCTTATTTGAATAAATACTTTGAGGAGCCCTAGCTTTGAAATAGACTTCCCACCTGGCCAAGTCAATAACTGTAACAATTATGCAACAAGAATCAAGATTACTTTTCATGACTTAACTGCAAGTATTTCTCATATAATTGAACTTACGTGGCTATGGAAACTTAAAAGACTTTTAAAATCTGGGCTTAGGTGATCCTGAAATAAACTTCAAAGCACTGTCTGCAACCAAAAGGATCTAGGAAATACTAGAAAATGGCATCTACCAGCTAGCTTAACTGGAGCCAAAATATTATCACTGTGAAAAAGTGGATCCCAAGGGAATATAAGCGCCTTAAGGGCAGAGACATTTGTGTATTGTACACTGCTGCATCCTAGTATCTAGAACAATGGTATACACTCAATATTTTAATTGATGAATGAATCAAAGAGACTGTTCCTGATGTATATTAGGAGTCAACCCAAATTCAATTCACATATCAATATCAATAATCTTCCACCAACTAGAGAATTTGTTACTGAATGACGAACATATTATGAAGCTAACTGAACTTATATAGTATACTTCAGAGTAAAATGAGTGATAAAAAATTATGATTTTTACTCTTGAAGAGCCCAAACCCCAGTAATTCTGAAAGTGGCATGCCTGTGACTAATAAAGAAAGAACCTACTAGTATCATGGAGACATCACATTTCATGTATTTCCATTTCTTAAAGCCCTTCTAAAACATGGTAAGAAAAACCAGTGCTAACACACAGGTAGGTGCTGCTTCCTTCAGACACTAGTGCATCACTTATGGCCCCTGTGCCAGCATCTGCCTGGCAGCTAACAGATGGAAGACATTAATCATCTGTTCGGTGTTCCCACCTTGTCCATCAGCCTTAAATGTAACTGCACTGAGCTGGATGAGTCAGCATCTGGTCTTCCAAAAGCTAGTGAATCACTCCCAAAGCAAAAAGGAAAAAGTTTACACTTCCGAGGCCTGATTCGATGCCAGAAGTATCCATGTTGCCTCAAGGTTTCTGACTCCCGATGATCTTTAGCTCCTGGATACCAAGGCAAAGACAGGTCTGAAAGCTACAGGAAACCAGGTGGGTCGTCATACACAAGACTGCAGCCCCAGGCAATATAAGTGGTATTTGTTCACACCATGCATTAACTGCTTTGAAGGATCAGAATGCAGAAGACTGCTATATTCAACATTGAAGGTTTTCTTAATAAAGCACTGAAAAATGTGAATGAGTCATCCTTTTATTTTTCAGAAGCCAAAATGACAAGTGGCAACTTGCCTTTGGGAAAGACATTAAAGAACATCAGGGTAATAAGCCATCTATCTCACAGAGACAGTAGCCTAAGAAAGACTATTATCATACAGCTCTCAAATAAAGTCCTATTAAATAAACCTCAGGATAATATGCTTTTAACTGAAACAAAACAAAAACATCATCGACAGCAAAAAATTACATAGAATCCATAAAATGGTATGTGAAGAAGAAAAAAGGAAAATCTGGAAATCCACATACTGAGAGTTCGATATTAAACCCAAGAAGGCCCAAATCCTAAAACAGAAAGAAGAAATACATTAAAACACAGTATTTTTAAAGAGTCCAATGAGGTTACTGCAGATGCACATTTTAATGCTTTATTTACTTAAGACGTTTTTTCTTCCTCTTGGAGCCCTTCGATACAGAGAGATCACATGAACAATAATGCAGAAATCTGCCTTCTCAATGGGCCCTTCAAGTTTTAAATTTCAACTTTGTGTCTGGAATCTCAATTAAGTGTTTATATAATAGGCTGCAGAGAATTGAATTGCTTTTTAAATTACATTTGCTTAATTTTTACACATTATGGTTTAAAAACAATCTATATACTTTTGACAGGGACACCACAATTTACAGTATGGAAATAAGGTATGTGAAACTACAAAACCCTCCTTGTAAAGAGTAATCATTTCCAAAATGAAGATGCTTAATACAAGATGATACAGTTGGTGGGGGTCAAGGTGAGGTGGGAGGTGGCGAACAAGCAGTGGGACTCACAGAAGAGCTAGATGCTTGAATGAGTTTCGCACTGACTGTGTCTTAGTCTCAACTTGCTTCTGTCTCATTTTGTTCCCTGGTAAGAGGAGGCAGATATATCTCTAAACTTCATGTCAATTTTAAACCCAAAGACTCTTATAGTTTATAAGAAAAGATCTGAAAAACTTTTTGGGTAATCAGTTGAATAAATTCCTCACATCTTGACAAAGTCTGTCACTGTTCAAACTCACGATAATATCTATAAAGGATATCCCATACTTTTATTATGAGAAAAAAAATCTACCTTAAGGGCAAAATTGTACATTATATCCTATTTATACACTACAACTTGGAAAATAAATGTCTATTCCACTCCTGGCCTCTAGAAGCACTCTCTGGGACAGTCAGCTAAAAACCCTGGGACCATGACTGTGGCCAAAACATCTAGCCTGTCTTTCTCTCTGAAAGCAACTAGATAGTTCAAGGTGCACTGTCACCTAAGAAGTACCCTGCACCCTCCATGTTGTATAGGACTTCTCCACTGCAGAGAAGGATTATACCAGGAAATAGTTGTCCTGAGAAAAATCTAGCATTCCTGGAAGATTATTTATTAGGATAGACTAATGTACAGTCATGGAAATAAAAACCTTATAGTAGCAGAGTCCTAGAGAACCAAACAGTTGAACCGGGAAGACTAATTAATGGTACCTGTGGCTTCTCCAAGTGTATTACCTATTTAAAGCTAAGGCCAATTAATAATTTTCATGGGCAGGGCCAAACTTTCGTGTAGATTAAGTATTTGTAGTAGTTCAGGGTTGAGACTACGAACTTTCAGGTTTAGGGAAGGAGGAGAAAGAGGTTTAGGATCATATAGACCCTAGGAGAGACAGCAGAAGAGATATGCTTTATTCAACAATCAACAATCTATACTTTCATCATAACCGTCATAGAATACTATATAATATCTTTTTGCTTGGATGTGATTATTTTCTTGTGAACTTTGTCCTTTAACATATTCACTGCAAAAAAGAGTCTGAATTGAGAACTACAGGAGCAATGCGCACACAGAAAAATGCTTTACAGATGACTAGAAATATCTTGGGCTGCATATATGCAGACCTGTTTCCTGAGAAGCAAAATGAGAGGATCACAACACTGAATGATTGCTTAAATTTCCTACAGTTCTCAAATTCTCATAATTTAATACAGATAACATATTATAATTGAGTGTATATATATCACTTACTGTTTCTTTTTAAAGTAGTTATGGATATAACTGTGTTTTTCTAAATGTCTCATTAGTAATACTCAGCCTTGTAAGTCTGGTTCCATAATAATCTATAATGTAACTACTTCCATCTGAAGGTCCAACAATCTAGAAAAGAAAATTTTCAACATTACTCAAGATACCAGTTATTTTCACAATACTTTGAGTTTATTTTTCTCAGTTGTTAATTATTTCAGTAGCAACAAAAATACACCTCAAACTAAGTCAAGCAAAAAAAAAGTAATGTAGTGACTCGCGTAGATGAAAAAGATACTCGGGGAGTTCACAGCACCAAAGAGCTGCAGGAGCCAAGGCCTCAAGGACAGGCACTCCGTGGCCCAGGAGGCTTTGCTCTGGCTTCCCTGCCATTTTGCTCAGCTCTGCTGCCACTTTCTGCAGACAGGCACTCCCAATCGATGATGGCCAACAGCTCCCAGTTCACATCTTCGCAGCTCAGCAGATCCCAACAAAAAGTAAAATTTTCTTCCTCAGGGTTTATAAGCCAATTCCAAGGAAGGACTTTGATTGATCTGCTTGGTGTTTATGCCTATTGCTGGACAAATTACTGTGTCCAAGGGAATAGGATTAATATGATTGGCCAGGCCAGGCTCTCTGTGGGACATAAGTATTGGACTTAAAGAAATCACCTTTAAAAAATAATTTAATAAAAAATTTAAAAAAAAAAAGAGTCCAAAAATACGCTCTGCCACATCTTGTTCAAAAGGATGCATTCCCAATGTCATTTTACTTTTTTTTGCTTAAAATTATGTTAAAATTTATAACATGTTTATGCTGTTTTGATGAACTGTATATCATTAATAATTATGACAACTCAATTCAGGAATCACAGAAACTTTAAAACATTTTAATTGTAATGAACACGATGATCAGTAGAAGATTTTCAAGCATAAAAATATATTACATTAAAAAAATATTACATTAGGGTAAAATTCTGTGGGAGATGGAAATAAAAATAAAAATTCAAGGAGAAAAAGAATGAAAAATTTATAATGGTTCGTGAGGGTTTCATTTGTATCTTTTTTAAGTGAATGATATTTAAAATTCCATGGTGTTTATATTCTGTTGAATACATTTTTAAATTAATGTAACAGTTTTATTTAAATATGTCAATATTTGTAAACTATAAATTATACCCTTTGCAATTATTTAAACTTATGATGGAAAACTTAAATGTCAACAGACATGCAGAGGGTAGGGATTTAAAAAAAATTCTTTTAGTGGTTATACAACCCCAGTTGATGAACACTGCTGTTAAAGTATTCTTCATTTTAAAAATAAATTTGGTGTTAAAAATTATTCCACAAATACTTAGTAATTCCTACAATATTTGAGACACTGTGCTTGGTATTATACATATAACAGTGAATAAGATATAACCTCTGCCAAAAGGGAGCTTATTCTAGTAAACTCTACATGTTAATATTCAAATAACACAAAGCACTTATGTGTTAGGTACCATGCTAGGTGCTGTAATGCACTTTGTTTTATTTTCTAAAGATTAAATTGATTTGGCTTGACATTTATGAATGTTATTTATGAATTTCAGTAAAAATTAAAACTTTTGTAGTCACCAAAGTCACAGAGGAAACGACTATGAGCATTAATCCAAGAAACAGAAAAATGGGTGACTAGAAGTTACAACATGTTCTGAGACTATGTAAGGGAAACTAAGAAAGTAAAGACCAGCCAGTCAAATCAAACGGTAAAAAACTGCCTTATTTGGAACATGTCCATAGATTGGAACTGGGCCTATTGTCCTGTTATCTTTTTTTCCTATGCCATCTCCCTTGATAATCTCACACCTACTTAAAAAACGTATTTCAGACGCTGAAAATTAGGAAAACTTATGATTAGGTGACCTTTTAATATCATGCATTTCTAATAAGTCCACCTGAGGCTCTTCACTCTCTCAGGAAATATAACTATTTACCTAAAAGTTGATGAGGACCCCAAAGCTTTATAATCTTGTCAAGTTAGCAGTTAATGTGTAGAAAAATGATCAGGTTTTGTTTTTGTTTTGTTTCCCCTGTCCTGTAGAGAAGATACCCCCAAAAGGTTACAGTTTTATTACCTGGTTCTGTGTTTCCCCAAAATAAAAACAGTCTTATATTAATTTTTGCTCCAAAAGATTCATTTTATTCATTTATTCATGTACAAAAATCTACATTTATTCAAATATAGTCATTTCTGGTTGATGATCTTGACTGGGACTTATTTTAGGGTAGGGCTTATATTACAAGCACCCTGAAAATCATGCTAGGGCTTATTTTCCAGTTAGGTCTTATTTTTGGGGAAACGCAGTAATATACAATCCAATTTTGTATCTAGTATAGCAATATTATTATAGCATTTCTTTCCCCTTAAACTGTGAATCTGATGCCTCAACTAGTTCTATCATGAAAATTCCAATCCTTTCCAGAGATAGGTTCAGCTTGGGCACGTAATGGAATTCTGGCCAATCACCTATGGGACAAGTTCACTGGGAGCTTATTTTCCCTTAAGAAGATAAGTGTGAGAGGAAACCGGTCTTTTTCTGCCTCTGGAAGTAACTATGTAAGGAATGATGCTAGCCAAAGGTCCTGAAGATGGCAAAGAGAAAGAAGGAAGGAAGAAAGGAAGGGACGAAAGGAGGGAGGGAGGGAAAGATAGATTTGGGTTCTTCATTAAGTCTTTCAGCTCTAAATTAACAAATTTTAGAACTACCTTATCTCAGATTCTTGATATATGATATAATAAATTACCATATTTTAAATCCAATTTATACTGAGGTTTCTGTTACTTGTTGCCAAAAACTGATAATGCACTTGTCTTGAACACCTCCTACATAGCACTGCCAGATCACGAAAGCACAGCACTAGCTGCTACTCTCTGCAGAAACAATTTGAAGATCTGGCAGAAAGACAACCAAATTAAGTCAGTGTGGTAAAGCACCAGACGAAGAGAAAGCTGTCTTTAACTAGCTGTAGGATTAATCCTCTTTGGGCCTCAGTGATTCTTATCCACATAATGAGAACAGATTAAGTTGTTCTATTGGGTTGTTGGAAAAGTCATGATGTATTTTTTCTATGTTTTTCGCTGCAAAAATGCGTCATGACTTTTCCGACAACCAAATACATAGTACTTTTTAAGATCTGTACAACTACATTTAAATGCAAACACCTCTACAACGTATTGTCAACATACTTTTCTATGAATTATTCCATCAAAGAATTTGTTCTCTCTATTTAATTTTTAAGAAAACTAGCATATGTAAAGGCTTCAATTATTCAAACCCATATTCCCACCCCAAAATTAAAAATTTAGCCTTTTTAAGCATCTTATGTACACTTATAAATCCTCTTAGTATGAGTATATTATTGTATTGCTAATTATAAAATCACAAATCTTTAAGAATATCCCCTACTGGGAAATTTTTTACTCAGTTAAATTTGCCTATGTCCATTTGTTCATTAATGACAAGAGTACAAAACCTAAAATTATGAGTTTATTTCTTAGAAATGGCCTGAGCCAAATTGTATAGCATCTGATAAACTGGGGAAATTTCTGAAATCTATGGGGAGAAGAAAGAACACTTACATACTTCACCCCAATTAATGGACCAAGAGGCAAACGAGAGCAGGGCACTACCACTATGGGAAGCTATTTTGTACAATGGATGTTAGTATCTCTTGTGTGAGAAATGCTAAAACCGTAAGAAAGCAACTTCATATCCCTCTATATTCATTTCCTGTAGCTACTGTAACAAATTACTCTTAATACAAACTTAGTAGATTAGAACAATAGAAATTTGCTCTCACAGTTCTGGAGGCCACAAGTCTAAAATCAAGGTGTCGGACAGCCACATGCTCTAGAGACTCAAGGGGAGAAATCCATTCTAAGCCTCTTCTCGGTTCTGGGAGCAATCAGCCTTCCTTGGCATTCTGTGGTTGGTGACCATATCACTCCCATCTCTGCTCTGTCTATACACTACCTTCCTTTCTGTGTGTCTGTCTTTTCTCTTCTGTCTCCTATAAGGACACTTGTGATTGGATTTAGGGCCCACCAGGTAATCCAGGAGGATCTCTTCACTTCTGCAAAGACCCTTTTTTCCAAATAAGGTAACATTTGCAGATTTCAGGGATCTGACATGGGTTATCTTGTCCTACCACACCCTCCTACAAAGATGTTTGTGGTGGTTTAGAAGAATGGGTGGAATTTCATTTCTTTTATGTCATTTTGGATTGTTCCCAACATGAAATTTTATTTGCAGGCTTAAATGCAAAAAATCTTGAATTGTTTACTGCAAGGGGTAGGTTTCTCTAGGCACAGTCTATATAGAAGAGTAAATCAGAAAACTTTAAAAATACATACTAAAGTCAAGAATGTTAAGAAGTAACCACCAAATTTCCTTTGTTTTCTTGTTCTTTATTTTTGATCTCCACTCTAATTCTCTACAACCCACCTAGCCATCCATCCACAGGCACCCACACAAATAGGCATGCACTGAACTTGGTATATGACTTGGAAACATTTATTCTTGAAAAACGTATGTTCTTTGAATATGTAATTTGAATGTATCTGAATAATGTTATTGTAGTTCTTGCTGAGTTTTAAACTATTTTCAGAGTACACTATGATTTAAGACATTTTCATGTAGCTGTATGTACATGGTAAGGGCTTGTAATTGCTGCCTAGTATTAAGGAGGATGCAGCCACTCTCCCGTAAGTGTACACATCTAGGTTGTTTCCAACTTCCTGCTACTACAAACAGTGCTGCAACAGACATCTTTGTACAACCCCCTTGTGGACATGAGTATGAGTTTTTTTGGGTAAATGCCCAGAAGTATATCCATATTTACATATTATTTGGGTGATTCTGTGAATCACCTATTAGTTTACTGTGCTCATTTAACTATTAGGCTCCCCATCATTTTCCTATTGATTTGCAGAAATTATCTGTACATTCCACCTATCAATTCCTGTTGCTGGTATCCTTTTACTCAGTCAACTGTTAACTTGGTCTATGGTATCCTTTTTAAAACACAATTTCTTAATTTTAACATAACCAAATTTAATGATTTTTCTTGTTTGTTTTTGAGATCTTGTTT